TTGCTGCGCATGCCCGCGCACCTGCGCTTACCGAAGATGGACGACTTCCAGTTCTTCGAGGGCCGCGAGCGGCTCTACCAGCTCCACGCCGTCGAGGAGGCGCGCTTCGCCGACCTCCAGTCGACGCCGGAGAAGAAGGCCGCGCTCGCCGCGGACCACGCGGCGCTCCGCGGCGGCCTGCAGCTGCTCGACGCGAAGGACCAGAAGGAGAAGGAGACGCTCATGACCCGGGGCTTCACGACGTGGACGAAGCAGCACTACACGCTCTTCCTCCGCGCGTCGGCGCGCCACGGCCGCGACGCCTACGACCGCATCGCGGCGGATCTGTACGGCAAGTCCCCGCGTGGCGTTCGACCGCCGGATTGGGCGGTCCCGACCGAACTTCGGAATTCTCGAGCTCGGTCACATCGACGTCGATTCGGCTGATTTTTGGACGAATCGATCACTCTCGTCGAGTTCTCGAAGCAGAGCCGAAGAGCTCGCGTCGAAACGGCCGCATATGCGCACATTGAAGTCGGGTTGAAGATGTGAACTCCGCGCAGGCAAGTCCGCGGCCGAGGTCGCGCGCTACGCGGCCGTCTTCTGGAAGCGGGGCGCGTCCGTCTTCGCGCCGTCGGACTGGGACCGCATCTCGCGCGCCGTGGAGAAGGGCGAGAAGAAGCTCGAGGAGATGGACGGGCTCATGGCCGCGACGCGGAAGTTCGTCGAACTCTTCGCGCGCGACCCGTCGGACCTCCAGTTCCGCTTCGCGTCGACGGCCGCGGGCCTGCCCCAGTTCCCGGGCCTGCCGAGCCGCGCCGACGAGGAGCGCGTGCTTCTGCAGCTGGTCTGCGAGCACGGCTACGGCAACTGGCGCCGCATCCGCGCGGACTTCCGGTCGCGGCCCGAGTTCCAGTTCGACTGGTTCCTCCGGTCGCTCGACGCGGAGGCCGTGGGCAAGCGCTGCGAGGCGCTCATGCGCGCGGCGGAGAAGGAGTACGCCGAGCTCGAGCGGCGCCACGAGGCCTACGTCGCCGCCGTCAACGCCCTCGCGGCCGCGCGCCAGGGCGCGCCGCGCGACCCGGAGACCGGAAAGCCGCTGAGCCAGCCCGAGCGCGTCGCGCGCATGTTCGAGAAGATGGCCGACGACCACAAGAAGCAGG